CCAAGATATTTTATTATCCTAGCTTCCATAATTCCCAGCAACTCTTTTTTTTTTTCCCTTTTCTTTCTTTTTTCTTTTTCTTTTTTTTTTTTTGAGACAGTCTCGCTCTGTCGCCCAGGCTGGAGTGCAGTGGCACGATCTCCACTCACTGCAAGCTCTGCCTCCTGGATTCACTCCATTCTCCTGCCTCAGCCTCCCGAGTAGCTGGGATTACAGGCGCCCGCCACCACGCCCGGCTGATTTTTTATATTTTTAGTAGAGACGGGGTTTCACTGTGTTAGCCAGGATGGTCTTGATCTCCTGACCTCGTGATCCACCCGCCTCAGCCTCCCACAGTGCTGGGATTACAGGTGTGAGCCACCGCACCCGGACCCCAGCAACTCTTTATCTACCTTTCATCCAGATGCATTTTTCCCATGTGAAAGTTGTGTAGATTACTTGTTCATGGGGAGTAAAGGTTAAATGCTTCCAGTTTGTGGAAGAATGCAGAGTCACTGATACCTGGATGTAGACTTGGGGGAGTGTTCCTTTGTTAGTTTTGAGAGTGTCTTCTTGATCTCTGTGCAAAAATTATTTCTTCCCGGCTTCCACATTTCTCCCCACTTCTCTTTACCTCCTTGGCTCCTTCACATGCTCTTCTCCCACCTCCCTATATAAAACTTGGTCTCAGATCATTCATTCCCACTATGTATGATTTATAACTTGGCAAGTGACTCCTCTTCCTAGGTTGCATATTTTAAATTTTATTGATGACTTCAGTGAATTCTCTAATATTAGAATTTCAGTTAGAGAATTTTGGAAGTACGGGGGACTTCCAGGACCTTAAAGAATAAGGATGAGTTTACAATCAGTTTTTTACCCACTGAGAAAAGACGAGAGTAGAGGCCAGGCGCGGTGGCTCATGCCTGTAATCCCAGCACTTTGGGAGACTGAGGCGAGTGGATCACCTGAGGTCAGGAGTTTGAGACCAGCCTGGCCAACGTGGCGAAACCCCATCTCTACTAAAAATACAAAATTAGCCAGGCGTGGTGGAGATTGCCTGTAATCCTAGCTACTTGGGAGGCTGAGGCAGGAGAATCACTTGAACCTGGGAGGTGGAGGTTGCAGTGAGCCGAGATTGCGCTATTGCACTCTAGCCTGGGTAACAAGAGTGAAACTCCATCTCAAAAAAAAAAAAAAAAAAAAAAAAAAAGATGAGAGAGGAGTACTAGATCAGGAGCCATGAGACTTGTGGTCTGATGTAAGATGTGTTGCTAATATGATGTGTGATTTATTAAACACTTTATTATAACCATTTCAACTAAAAGTACAGAAAATAGTATAATGTAATTGAACCCCATGACACATCACCTAGCATAGTAATTTAAACAATTTTTCCAATCTTGTTTAATCTATATGCCTCCTCCCCTTTTTATTTGCTGGTGACTGTTTTAAAGCAAATTTGCAGATATTGCATAAATTCATTGACCTACTTCAGAATGCATCTTTCAGAAATGAGAATTTAAAAATTAAAATATCATCATTATCCTTGAAAATAGTGACATTAATTCATGATATCATCTAATGCCTAAACCATATTCAGATTTTCTTGTCTTAAAAATTACTCTTTTCAGTTGATCTTTTCAAATCAGACTCTGAGTAATGTCCACATGTTACATTTTTGTCACTGTGTTTTTTAATGTATACCAGCCCCATACCTTTTTGGTTATTATTTATTGGTACCCTATTGTTAGTAATACTAAAATTAGCTGGTAATTCTCTACCTCTTCTCTGCCTCTCTCAAAATACCTGACTTAAAATAATACTTCTTAATTTCAAGTTAATAATAGGCAATAAGCAATTATTTTATTCTTTACATCCTCCTCTCATTATTCCCACATTTTGTTTATTGTATGTAACTACATAGTCAGAGCATTTATCCATGAACAGTATTCTCTTACCTTGTAACCATCATTTAATGTTAGTTCTACAGTTAAATATATGCTTCCTGTTTATCACCAGTTCTTAAGTTGATGTCTCTCCAGTCATTTTGGTTGCCTAAAGCTTGTTCTGTGGTAAGTTCCTTAAGAGTTCTTGAATAGTGAAAGTGGCCCTTATATTTGAAAGTAATTTTAGTTGGATATGAAATCTTGACTCATCTGTTATTTTCTTGAGGATCTTAATATCCAGAATCTACAAGGAACTTAAAACATTTGCAAGAAAAAAATAACCCCATTAAAAAGTGGGCAAAAGACATAAACAGACACTTCTCAAAAGAAGACATTTATGCAGCCAACAAACATAAGAAAGAAAGTTCAACATCACTGGTCATTAGAGAAATGCAAATCATAACCACCATGAGACACCATCTCATGACAGTCAGAAAGTCAAGGAACAACAGATGCTGGTGAGACTGGAGAAACAGGAACACTTTTACACTGTTGGTGGGAATGTAAATTAGTTCAACCATTGTGGAAAATAGTGTGGCAATTCCTCAAAGACCTAGAACCAGAAATACCATTCAACCCAGCAGTACCATTACTGGGTATATATCCAAAGGATATAAATTATTCTATTATAAAGATACATGCACACGTATGTTCATTGTAGCACTATTCACAATAGCAAAGACATGGTATCAGCCCAAATGTCCATCAATGATACATTGGATAAAGAAAATGTGGTACATATATATCATGGAGTACTATGAAACTATAAAAAGGAACAAGATCATGTCCTTTGCAGGGAAATGGATGGAGCTGGAAGTTATTATCCTCAGCAAACTAACACAGGAACAGAAAACCAAATTCTGCATGTTCTCACTTGTAAGTGGGAGCTGAACAATGAGAACACATGGACACAGGGAGGGGAACAACCCACACTGGGGTCTGTCTGGGAGTGGGGAGGGAGAGCATCAGGATAAATAGCTAATGCATGTGGGGCTTAATACCTAGGTGATGGGTTGATAGGTACAGGAAACCACCATGGCACACGTTTAGCTATATAACAAACCTACACGTCCTGGATGTATCCTGGAACTTAAAACCTACATGTATCCTGGAACTTAAAATAAAAATAAGTTAAAAAAAAGTAAGTTAGTGTTCTCAGGACTAAAGAATATAATTGGATTTATAAGTTAATGGTGGCATAAGTAATGAATTTATTTATTTAATGTATATGTAATATACATATAATTTATGAATATATTTATTTAATATAGATATTCCTAACATTCTGAAGTAGCTAACTGAACTTTTTGGTTGAGCATGAGAAAACTATGGCACATAAATTGAGTAAGTAGAAATGGTACATATCTTCTAGGCCTGCATCCCACAAACCAAATGATCAGTGAGAGATAGTGGTGAAAAACAGGTGTGCCTGTACAAACATGAAGGTATTGCTTTGGGTTTCTTTCCTAGCTTTCTGGTTACTCCCTTATAATTAGGAGCACATAGTGAAAGCACTAGCAGGGACCTTGATGTTGGAACCTAGGCATCCCTGTATTTCCTTGGACACTATTCACCTCTTACTAAATCTTTAAGGCCAAAAAACTTGTATTCAGCGTCAGGTCCTGCCACACAAGCTTGTGACCTAGAAAAGCAGATGGTTGTGGGAACTTGATGAAATAATTGAAGAAGAAAAATTCCAGAGAGTGTGTAAGTCTTACATTACTATTGTTATTGACAATAACACGATCCAGAAGAATTGATGAAGCAACTAATTCACACTGATGTGTTTGTGTGTTAATATAGTTGGGTAGTAGTAATTAATGCTGTTTATCAAATACTTCTGGCTTTCTATCTTAGAGGGACATAGTTGGGTTGTGCCTCCCAGCTGCCTTGTGTTTGAGTGGGGTCATGAGAGGGGTTTTGGACAATAAGTTATGGTCAGAAGCGCCAGTGTGAAACCTCCAGTGTGAAACCGCCAGTGTGAAACCTCCAAGAGCCTTTAACTGCCAGTGTGAAACCTCCAAGAGCCTTTCTTAGCTTCTGGCAGAGTGATGATTAATGTTTTCAATGGTGACTACTCCATGATCTTGGTTCTCTGCATGTTGAAAATAAGTAGCACACTTAATCGTTTTTCTATGGTGGACATACAATGTGAATGAGAAATAAACTTTTGGTTTTAAGGGTCTAAGACTTTGAGGTTGAGTGTTTCCACATCACAACTGAACTTTTTCCTGACTGATACACTAGCTTTTTCTAGGACACAAAGGCAGCTTGGTAAGGATGCTGGATGTATGGAGAAGGGAAGAATTAAGAGTGAAGGGAAAAGAAATTGGGTACTGAGCCTTCACACTGTCATGAAACTTAAGTGTTGGTGGGGAGAATAAGTGTGTTTTGTAGATTCTTCTGTCTTTCCAGCCAGATTCTCCTTTCTCTCAAACTGATCAAACCTCAGCTTTTCATTGTTCCTCAAACACATTGCAGTGCTTGTTGTCTCCACATGCTTGGGTGGTTTTCACTATTTGAAATGCTTTGCAGATTTCCTCGTCTTTTGAAACTTCCTCTTTCAAAATTCATTCCATCCTTCAAGATGCCATTCCTTCTAGAAGTCTTACCCAATGACCTATGAAACCCATGTAGTTTCTTCTTGTTAAAATTAATGGGTTTTATAAGTCATGGTGGCTCACCCCTGTAATCCCAGTACTTTGAGAGGCCAAGGTAGGAGGATCCCTTGAAGCCAGGAGTTCAAGACCTACCAGGGTGAGATAATATGACCTTGTCTCTAAAAAAAAACAAAAAACAAAAAAAACAAAAAAAAAACACACACAAAAAATGGTTGAGTGTGGTGGCATGTTCCTGTAGTCCCAGCTACTTGGCAGGCTAAGGCAGGAGAATCACTTGAGCCCGGGAGTTTGAGGCTGCAGTGAGCTATAATTGCACCATTGTACTCCAACCTGAGCAATAGAGTGAGATTATGTTTCTAAAAAAAAAAAGCCATGCAACACAAGAAGAACAACCCTCCGCTACCAAACAAAAAACTAATAGGATTTAAACTCCATGACTGCTAGCCATTGTCAGGCTTATAGACAAGTTACTTGGAGATAGCTTTATTTTTCTATATGATTACCAATCTAATGGAGATAGCTTTATTTTTCTATATAATTGCCAGTCTATTGAGGAGGCAATACTCAGCTTTCAAAACTTGAAACCTTTTCCTGAAATCTGGATTCCTAACAGTACCTAGCCTGAGACTGAATATGTATTTGGTTAAGATCATTGATAGAAACCAAGTGTTTTGCTCCTAGGTCAATTCTCTTACTGGTATCCAACACCAATTTTCATGACCTCTTTGAGTGCCACATGGAAAATAGTAAGTAAGAATAACCCGATGATCTCTTAGATCATGTCTTAATTATGACATACCAACATTTTGTTCCTTTTACCAGTAAATTCTGTCTCTTAATTTCTTCAAACCCCTTTTCATATCTTTGTTCCTCAGGCTGTAGATGAAAGGGTTCAGCATGGGTGTCACTACTGTGTACATAACTGTGGCTACCCGGTCCCTAACCACTGAGTACATGGACAGGGGCCTAAAATAGACATAAATAATACTCCCATAGAAAAGGGATACTGCAGTAAGGTGGGAGCCACAGGTAGAGAAGGCCTTCCACTTCCCAGCTGCAGAGGGGATTCTGAGCACAGTGACGATGATTCGCAGGTAGGAGAAGATGATACACAGGAAGGGGGTCACGATGACAGCTAAGGTCTCAGTCATGACCACCATCTGGTTGGAGGATGTGTCAGAGCAGGACAGCTTTAGCACAGGCTGGGTGTCACAGAAAAAGTGCTTAATGACGTGAGAGGCACAGAAAGACAGGTGAGACATAAGTAGCACGCGGAACAGGGAATGTAAGTGGGAGATGCTGCAAGAACCCAATAGCATGAGTAGGTAATGCCGTGGGTTCATAACTACATCATAGTGTAAGGGGTTGCAGATGGCCACCAGCCGGTCGATGGCCATAGAGGCCAGCAGGTAGCTGTCAGTGTTCCCAAAGGCCATGAAGACGTACATCTGGACCAGGCAGCCCACATAAGAGATAACGTTTGTCTCTGATAGAAAATTCACCAGCATCTTAGGCACTATGGCTGTTGTGAAGCAGATATCCGTGAAAGACAAGTTGCTGAGAAAAAAGTACATAGGGGTGTGGAGCCTGGGGTCAGAGTAGATGGCCAGGATGATGAGCACATTCCCCACCACGGTGACCAGGTACATGATGAGGAAGATGGCAAAGAGAGGTTTCTGCAGCTGAGGGTTGGAAGAGAGGCCCAGGAGGATGAAGCCTGAGGTGCTGCTGCTGTAATTCTTTGTCTCCATGTCTCTGGACTTCCTGGATAGGGTTTGGAGAAGCAGTGGGAGAGATGTAAAGGGCAGTTTGATCAAGACAGCTTCCTTCATAAGTTTAAGCCCGTAAAAATAGCTCATAGCCCTTTGTTATGGTTTTTAAGAATATTTACTTTAAGAAACTATGGAGAAACAGGTAGTAAAATCCAACAAGGGAACAGTTAAAATTATCCAAGCTGTCTCCTAAACTAGAAACTAAAGATTTTCAATTTTCCATTCCATGCTTATGGATCGGGAGAATTAATATAGTTAAAATGACTATACTTCCCAAAGCAATCTACATACTGAACATAATCCCTATCAACATACCAATATCATTTTTCACAAAATTAGAAAAGAGCAATTCTAAAATTGATATGGAGCCAAAAAGAGCCAGAATAGCCAAAGCAATTTTAAGAAAAAAGTACAAAGTTGGAGGTATCACATTACCTGACTTCAAAATATATTACAAGGCTATAGCAACCAAAATAGCTTGTTGCTGTATAAAAACAGACACATAGATCAGTGAAACAGAATAAAGAAATAAATCAATATATCAAAGGGATACCTGCACTTCTATATTTATTGCAGCACTATTCACAATAGCAAAGATCAACCTAAGTGTCCATCAATGGATGAATGAAGAAAAGAAGTGGTGTTTGTACATGTATATGTACACACACACACACACACACACACACACACACACACACACACAGTGGAATACTATTTAGTCAAGATAAATAATGAAATCATGTCATTTGTAGCACCATGGATGGAACTGGAGGTCATTATTTTGAGTGAAACAAGCCAGGCACAAAAATACAAATATACAAATACAAAAATATAAAGCACAAAGCACTAATAGCACATGTTCTCACTCATAAGTGAGTGGTACAAATATGTACATAGGATCATTGTAAGTGGAATGATGGACAATGGAGACTCAGAAGAAGTGGGGGTCAGGAGTAAAAGGGGAATTAATGACGATAAATTGCCTAATAGGTGCAATGTATGTTATTTGCATGGTAGATACCCTAAAAACCCTAACTTGACCACTGCACAATGTATTCATGTAACAAAACTGTACTTGCACCCCATAAACTTATACAAATAAAAAATAAAGGCTTTTCCTTGTGTTCTTCGGAACTTCTATGTGGCTTAATTTGTCTTGAGTTCTTCTCATTTCCCTTTCTGAAGATTCTTCTTAGGTTGTCTCTTGACCAACTTCTTAGCTTCTTTTTTTTTTTTTTTTGTTCCAGAGGAAGTGGTTTCTGGGTCCCACCTTGAATGAGGATACTTTCATACAGGGTATCACCATGAATACGACTGTTTCATTCAGAGTCCTCTCCTGCTCATAGTTCTGGAGGTGGTGGTGATAGTTGAGATAGTACAATAATGAACATCAGACTCAATCAATGCTCCTTACTGTCCACAGAATTCAGACGAGCCTTCCTTAAGTCTTCAGAGCAAAACCTGCTTAATGTATGTTCAAATCTTTCTGTTTGGTTAATATGATCTGGATACTTTAATTTTAAGCTTTTGATCCAAAGATGTCACTCAAAATAGGAGTACTACCAGGAATAGCCTATGTTACTGTGATTAGTTTTTAAAATATATTAACTTTTCTGATTATAAAATTATAACATCCTCTTTCTAAACATTCAAATATTACAGTATTATAAAACTTAGATCGTTAAGAGTCTTATTCTACCAGTATCATGAAAAGACCAGAAAAGGATGGCTCCTATTACAACTATTAAGCTATACTGTTGATATGATGGTCTCAATCAGTGAAAAAGTAAGAATTAAAAGACATAAACATTAGAAATGATGAAATTGTCCACCTAGAAAATCCAAGATAATCATCTGAAAAAATTTAAAATCTATGAAGACTTTATCAAACTAGCCAGATAAAAGATACATATACAAATATAGTTTTCTTATATAATTTGGAAAACATTTCAATTGACAGTGGTAAGAAAGTCTAAAAAATACTTAGGAATAAACCTGAGCAATAAAAATAAATGAGTAAGATTTATCTGGAGAAACTGTAACAGAACACAAAATGAAGATCTAAATAAACAGAGATATTATATTCCTATCAATATTTTAAAAATGTTAATTCTTCTCAGATTAATAAAATTCAATGCACCTCTAATAAGACCCCAGGGGAATTTTCAATGACATTTGTGAAAGTTTTTCTAAAATTCACCTAGATTAATAAATGGCTAAGAACAGAAAATAATTTTGAAAAAATTCAGAACAATTTCAGGAAACTTTTCTAACCCCAATCAAATTACATAATAGTGAAAAACAATAAGATAATGGCACAAACAGAAAAGCAAATCAATGGACCACCATAAAGAATTTCATAGATCTGTATTTATGCATACATATATATAGGTAGATATATATAGACAGTAATTTATCTGCAACTTAATATACAGTAAAATTTAATAGCATCAAAGAAAGAATGGAATATTAATGATATTTGTGACAATTGGTTGAACACTTGGAAAGTATAAGGCTAGATTTCTATCTAACCCACACATATAAATAAAACCCAGATGAATGAACAATCTGAAAGTTAAAAATCCAAACTACAAAGTAAGTTTGAGCCAAAACTAAAGGAGCATATTTTTACAGTCTCAGGATGGGAATGTCATTCCAAGCAAGAAATGAAATGAAGAAGCAAGAATGACAAAATAACCCACTTAAAAATTTGAAAATTATGCCAAAAGAGATTATAGGCAAAGCTAAAATAGAAACTATTGACTCAATGAAAATACGTGCAACACAGTTACTAAATAAAATGTATGACAAGATGATCAACATAATTGATAATCAGAAAATGTGGACTGAAATTCAATTCTCACTTATCAGTTTTATGCTAAATTTTTTGACAATATACAAAGGGAACTAGACACTCACGTGTACTAGCAGTAAGAGAGTAAATTAGTGTTATCCCTTTGGTAGTCTCCATCAGAACTGAAAATCTGCACTTCTTTGTCCAATAATTCCACTTACGAAAAGCTATCCTTTAAAAATAGTAATATTTGTATGTCAAAGTATATGTACACACATTTTATTGTAATGTTGCTTGTAATAGCAAACTAAACATAATACAACATAACAAACAAAACAACTACACAGGAAACAAACTGAATATTCACAAATAGGTGATTTATCAAATAGTTTATAGTGTATTTTTATTACTCAACATCGTGTAGTCTCTGAAGAAATAAGATGGATAATGTTAGCCAATATTTATTGACACCTGATACTTGCCACACACTGAGCTAAGTGCTTTGCAAAGTTTTTATCATTTTATTTTCTCCAAATCCTACAACATAGGCATTTTAATGATTGCAACTTACGGATAAAAATTTAGAGTGTAGTAAAATTAAGTAACTTACCAGACCCCGCAGGGAGTAAGTGGTAGAGCTGGAATTTGAATTCAGGCAGTCTGATGGCACAGACGTAACAAAATGTCATGGACATTTTGTGACAAAAACAAGGAAGAGAACAAGCCTAAAGAATAATCCCATTTTTGAGTTGAACAAAGAGAACACATGGACACAGGGAGAGGAACATCACACACCAGGGCTGTCGGGGAGTCGGGGGAAAGGGGAGGGAGAGCATTAGAACAAATATCTAATGCATGCCAGGCTTAAAACTAGATGACGATTGATGGGTAAGGAAACCACCATGACACATGTATACCTACATAACAAACCTGCACATTCTGCACATGTATCCCAAGACTTAAAGTATAATAATTAAAAAAGAACAACCCCATTTTTGTAAAGAAAAGTATATTTTAAAATATGTTGTGTTTGTTGTGGTGTGGAAAGAGTCCTTAAAAAGTGTTTATGTGTAAGGTGGTTACCTACTGAATTTTCATATTTAACTTTATATTATATTGTCTGTTTAAAAATAAAAAAAGTGTTTATGTGTAAGGTGGTTACCTACTGAATTTTCATATTTAACTTTATATTATATTGTCTGTTTAAAAATAAAGGTTGTGTTTATATTCATTTCATAATTTAAAAGGTTAAATTTCCTATAATTCCACTGGAATTGTGTGCATATTTTAAAGATCTTTTTCTCGGTTTAGATCTATATACACTGCATATAGGAATGAGGTTAAATGGTTCATTATGCTTCCGCTACCCCAAGAATGTTACAATGGATATTTTTTGTCTCTCTATATATTTCTCACTCATGAGATAATTTTTACAGTGTAGAATAGATCCTGAGATCTGGAATGCTAAAATAGAGTTTACAAATCTTAAACATGTCAATAGATATTAGAAACATGGGACACATACCTTTCATCTCACTCTTGGGCAATGTAGTTATTTAATTCTCTGGGTTCGTTCCACATTTCTTTCTCTGTATCTTTTAGCTTCACCCCTGGGACATAGTTTGACTTGGTGATAAAGGGCTATCTCATCACCCTTGGCTTGAACTTGGAATTTTCCAAATTTATGTGATTTTTCTCAGGGGCAGTTACTTAGCTCGTTCCCATTTAGCTGGATTTGACAGCATCACGTATTTTCCTCATGCCTTGGGCAAGTCATTTCACTGCCATATAGATAATGGTGCACACATGTATGTTTGTGTGTGTGCTACGTTCTACCCTGCCTAGGAGCTGTCAAATGACAGTTGAGCGAGTCTTTGGCAAACTCTATGGCAAGTGATTAGCATAACTGCTCATACAATAAGCTAGAGAAATGACATTTCAGTGATGGGTCTTGTCATCAGGTGGTGGTTGCGAAGGGCCAGGAGAGACTGGGAGTCTTTCTAAGCCTTTTAAGTCACATCATTTCACCTTAAAAGGTATTTACTCCCTTCCTTGACAGACAGGAAATGTGGATTATTTCTATACTTCTAGACTTCCTCCATTAAAATTTTTACATTATGAACATTTGTCACCTGAGGTTGTTTTTCCTTTTCTTATTTACTCATCACTTATGCAGGGTCCTTCTCCTGGCCAAATGAAACCAGGGAGTACGCATTGTCAGCCCAAATGAAACCAGGGAGTACGCATTGTCAGCACACAATGCACTTCCCAAATTGGGACGCTGGGTGGGCAGTACCCTGGTGGAAAGCTACTCATTATTCATGCACCTAGTCCCCCGAATGAGCAAGGACAGTTGAGAATTGACTAAACTGGAAAAATGCAGCTAACATTTATTAGACAGAGTCTGTGCTTACCGCTTGTCTCATTTAATCCTCACAATAACACTATGTTTGAAGTACCATTATTTCGCCCTTTACAACAAAGGAGACTGAAGTTCAGAGTCACAGAGCTGGTGAGTGGTGTATCTGGGATTCAAACCTGAGTACACTCACTGTAAATTATGTGTT